CTGTGTATCAATCCGTGAGTCCGTGAAAAACCAATCTATCCATATTTGAAATTCATCGGGAGTCCGTGAAAAACCAATCTATCCATATTTGAGCGAAAATTCATCGGGTACGGAAGAGCTCATCCCAGAGACGGGGCCGAATGAACAGTTTGCTCGTAGTTGTTAGTATAGGCTTGAGTGGGCAATCGAGACTCTGGAGAAAATAGTTGCGGGAGTGCCATCTCACTGGGTATGACAGTGCCATACCTTCACCGCACTGACATGCTTCAGTTTACGGGCAGCCCCGTAACGGTCGTCAATGGTGGCGCGATCGGAGAAGGGACACGCAGTTCCATGGCATCTGGTTCTGGGTGAGAAGGGGATTGACACATAGGGTCACGCAGATGCAGGCCCACGGATGATTTCCGTTTCGTTGGAGGAACGTGTGTGTAGACCGGGGAAAAACCAGCTTGAATAAATAACAGTTCTACGAGGCGTTTAAGCAGCTGCAGTCGATACTTGAAGCTTGGGAGGATGGGCAACGGGAAAGAAATAGAATGAAAGCAGTAGTGTGTGGCGAGTGTCAGGAGGCATAAGATACAACGGCGTTAATTGAAAAAAATCTAAAAGGGGATGACAGCAAGCTAAATGACATACGGTCCTTGTTGTGCCGAAAGAAAGGCTAATGTGAGCAGTGAGAGTAGACAAGTGAAAAGCGGAAAAGCAATGGCTTCCCAGATAACTGATAAGAATGGTAGCATAACTGAAGTCTACTACGTTAAACTAACAGGAAAGTATGATTAGGGATCACCAGTCGCCGAGTCACTGCTGTCAACTCCAGCAAACGAATGGTGCACGGCAAAAAACAGCCGTTAGGTGATAGCTGTGACTGCTAGTGATCAGAAAATGATAAGTTGTTAGCATTTTGTGCACGACAGGAGGGAAGAACGTGTATGCTATTTTTGGATGATGAAGTGGACTAGGGGTGATGTGACCCAATTAAGATGAAGGTGACAACTCTTTGCACGTCGATGTTAGCCGTTAGCCTCACGCAGTACCCTCAAGCTACCCCATGTATAAATGTGTTTTTTATTTATTATTATTTTTTCAAACAAACGGAAGGACAGCTGTCATTCGCTTGTATTTCTTGGTGTTGTGAGACAAGTGACAACCGGAACAAGGTCAACTCAGCTGCAGAAAAACAGCAACGCTGCTTTTTTTGGTTTTCCAGAATTACAGGCCAGGCTCAGAATCACTGGCGATTGACGATACACCCGTGCTACTGGGAGGGTGGCGAGTATACGAGTGCACCATGGTGCAACGTAACAGGGCGACCATCCCTGCAGGGCCTACCCGTCCACCACACGAGGTTTTCATCCCTCGTGCACTCTACCAGATCTGCAAGGTGGACACCCATCCAAACAGTCATAAGTGCGGTTTGTGCATTACTAGATAGCTACAGCTGCCAGATATTTTATCCGATCGGGGGAGAAGCCGGGCCAGTAAAACAGCTCAGTCATTTCGAACAAGCAAACAGCAAACAACCACTGGAAGAGGCAAGTCGCAGAAGCAAATAAAACACCAACTACCTTTTGTGCTACGGGAGGGAAATGGGGATTTTCAGAGCCTGTGTACTGAGGCTAATCGAAGACAAAGCATTAATGTGAACCGCCTTGTCAAGTAGAGTCGCACCAGTGCTATGCGTGTGTACGAATGAGTGGGCTGTGGGGCCAAACAAGTATTTCATTCATAGCTCATCTTCAGACTCACCACTTGATATGCGTGTGCTGCGCGTGTTCGGGGAATGCAGAATGTTTCAGAACAGCGAGGAGCTTACGCTTCAGTTTGGCTGAGGTTAGTTAAATTCAGTCAAAGAAAAGCACCAAACACTAGATAGAGCTGATAGAGTTACTCAGGGATGGGACCAGGCTTGAAAAACTAGAAATAATTTGGCTGGGTACAAAAGCTCAAGGCTGGAGGAAGAAAATACAACCAGCTCGGTGAAGACGGGCTTGAAGACAATCACGGTGGCAGGCGCTAGACATTCTCTGCAATTCAACTGCGCTTCGGAGAGCGGAAGATATATTCGAAGGAAGTGAACTTCCTCCTAAGAGATAGATACAGTAGTAAGATAGATAAAACTTGGGGAGGTGGTTGTC